GAGGGACACGGAGGATCTGGAGAGGGTTCAGAGGAGGGCCACTTGCATGATTAGTGACCTCCATGAAAGAACCTATGAGGGGAGGCTGACAGATCTGGATCTCTTCAGCCTTCATGAGACGTCTGAAGGGAGACCTTGTAGCCACCTATAAGTTTATCAAGGGAAGACAACAGGGAATTGGTGATGCGCTATTTACCAGAGCGCCCAGGGAGTAACTAGGAATAATGGGTGCAAACTAGTGGAGAGTAGATTTAGGTTAGACATTAGGAAGAAATTTTTTACAAGCCAGAAACTGGCTTGGGCTTCCAAGAGTGGTAGTGCTATCACTTAACTTGGAGGTCTTCCAGAGGAGGCTAGATAGTCACCTGGCTGGAGTCATCTGACCTGGGTCCTCTTTCCTGCCATGGGCAGGGGGTCAGACACAATGATCCATTGTGGTCCCTTCCGACTCTACAGTCTATGAATCTATGAGCCTTTTGGCTTTGGACTAATATCATGCACAGTTTTAATTCTATATACGTAGGTACAAAAGTGTTGCTTAAGTGTGCTTATGGAATATCTGTGCTAAAATTTGCAGTGGCTTCAAAAACATAAAATGCATCAATTCTGGATGAACTAGGTCTATGGGTGCTATATGCAAATTACTATAGGTAAGTTTGTTTCAAGGTCAGTGTTTTCAAATGTGCTTGTCACTTCCATGTGCTCAGGGGGAATAGGGTCTGACAGTAGTGGGGGGGAAAGGGGCTGTGGGGGGAAGAAGTTGTGGGGAGGAGGGCCATTTGACTCTTTCTCCTCTCCTTCTTCCCCCAGGTTAATTTCCCATGTTGTAACAGTAAGAGAGGATAAATTCCAGGCAAGCATCCAATAATTAGATTATAACACTTAAATTTTCCATATATAGAATCTAATTACTGGGGGGTCATCTTATATTCAAGTAAATATGATAGTTCCCACATCTGGTTTATGGTAGTGAAGAAGCAAGGATTCAAAGAGCACTGTATCCTACAGGCTTTCTCTCCCAATGGCCCAGGATGTGCTGTATCATGATATGTTTCTTCATGAGAGCTGGTAGGGAGTGTTCATGGAGACACCCAAATCTTGCCTGAGTCCTTTCCTCCCCCACCACCTGGCCTGTATTGCTGGGCTGCCAGAGTGTTCCACTTTCTCAAACATCAAAGATGAGGACTTCATATTCTCTCTTACTGCCCCAATCTAGGGAGGCACCTGTTTCTTCATTGTATAATAGCAATTTGATATGGTGGCTCATGTGGGTCAAGCCTACCTTGGGACTTCTCCATTTTCATCAGTTTCAGATGTTTGTGTATTGAACTGAGTGATCAAGGAGGAAACAAAGAAATTAGTTACTCAAATCCTCCTTAAATTTAAATAAGAGTTGGTCCCTTAAGTATTTATAACTAAAGTTCCAGTGAAAATAACATAGTACCAGCAGCTCCCAGAATAAGGTAAGAAACTGAAAAATAAGAAGAATACCTGGCAAAGGACCAAGTGGCACTTGAATGAATGTGAGTTGGAAGGGAGAGAAGGGGAGGAGTATACAGGAGTCTAAGTGAAGGGGGAGTCAGTTGGTGAAAAGTATATGGTGATGGTAGAGATGAGATTGCAATAGGAACAGACAGGAGGGCATAAGATTATGTGAACTAAAATATCCATATTTCCCTGCTTAGTTGTGCTTTTGGTCCTGAATACGTAAGGCAGGGCTATGCTGAATATTTTCTTGGTGCATTATGGATCAGTTAGAGTATATGAAGTTAAACTATTCAATCCAGCACTTTTCCTAATTTCCAACCCCCCCCCCCCCATTATAATTTTGAAAATTACCATAGTTGTGCATTTGATGCTATCTGAGGTGAGGCTAACCCTACCCTGAAATTAAGCATAGAAAGCTGAGACGATTTGAAGCATGTGACACGCATAGTAAAACACACTGCATTTTTAAATACTACATTTCTTATAAAAAAAGGCAAATTTAAATCTCAAAGTATAGCAATTACTTTCAGATGTTTGATTTTTCTTTTTGGAGACCTGTCATGTCAGTCATTTAAAATTGACAAACACTATTTTGATTTCCTCTGCATTTTTTTGTTAAGCACCTTTTTCCCTGCCTTGCATTGAAGATTATATACTTCCCTCCTTCGTCACCTGCTCTATTGTAATGTTGTGTGTGTGTGTGTGGGGGGAGGGGGGGTTGTGTGTTTTGGGGTTGTTTTGTTTTGTTTTTTTGAAGAATACCTGGCAGGGCAGTAGATGAGGAGATATAGTTACAGGAAGCCCAAAAGCTGAGCCTCCCTTTCAGCCGAGACAATTAGATTGTTGTTTTTGGTTGGAGCTCAGAAATTCTGTTAGATCCAAATGCTTTTCAAATGTCTTCATCAGCTGATACTGATGCCAGAAAACTTTCAGGGCACGATATAGAGCCTTTCGTTTCAGGATCTGTATCTGAAAACCCTTAAGTTTTGGATAAATTCCTATCAAGACCTGAACTTTATAGCTGGAGATGGAGTATACTGGAGCAGGACAAAACAAAGGGTGGGGGAGGAGTAGTAAATATTTTGCAGTCCTTCTCACTTTGCACTAAAGGTTGATACTTTTCATCCTAACTAGTTGTGTTTCTGAAAGAAGGTGTTAATTTTGATACCTTGGAGTGCTACAGCTAAAGTATCAGAATGTAACTTGGGTATCATGACACTGGTCCCAACTCTGGCACTGACTCTTGAGACATTGATCACTTCCTTTATACCTCTGTTCCCTTTATCTGTAAAATTGCCTTTCTTACCTTTGCAAAAAGAAGTATTAATGGTGGTTCTAATTTTTAAGCTATCTGGCACAATATTTAGTCATTCATAATTTTTGTTTCCTACTGAACTCCAAGAATGTTGGAGCCCTAGACTTTTATATTCCTTGAAACATTGTACATGGCTGTGTAAGACAACTATAGGAAAAAGTCTTTAAAATGTACTATAAAATAGTCAGATTTCTATATAATCAGGCTTGGCAGGACTGGATTTTTAAAAATTGATGAATGGTGATTTCACCGTGCACCCGCAAACAAACAACTTCCATCGTTAAAAATCAAAATTTAAAGAAAGGGGTCTGTAACGGGGAACCCTCACCCCTGTTATTGGACAGTGGAAAAAGAGACATAGGAACAGTGGACAGGGGGATTAAAGAGGAAAACAATGGGTAGCTTAATGACCTGTCAAGTAAGCAATTAGCTGCTCCTGTGCCTGGAAGCTGGCTGGAGGGAGATAGGCTACTTAAACAAACCTCTACCCAAAGCCTAGAGGGGGAGAAGTGGGGAAGACTATTCAAGACTTCAGCAGGGTGGCATTAGAGTCCTGCCTGGGCCAGGCCAGTTAAGCGTGGGGGCCAAGGGTGCCCACTGCATCTCCCTGTGTTCCCAGAGCTCTGGGAGTGCCACTGCCTTCCTCTTCTGGTCCCTGCCTGCCCACCTCTTTCCTGATGAATGAACACAATGGTTTAAAGCATTTATTGATTTATACATATTTTTACATTATTTTTATAAAGCTTTTAACAGTATACTGTTATTACCAAATTGTCTGCACCCTCACCCCTCCAACTTTGAGCAATCTTGAACATTTAAATAAATAAATTACTAAAAAATAAACATTGTTTAGCCATCAACATGATCACAAAAAACATATTTTTTAGTTCTGCCAAGCCTATATAAAATGGTTGATCAAAGCACTGTAGAATTTTTTTCCTGAGGTTATGAGAGCCTGTTTCATTCTTTCACAATGTACCTAATGCGCTGAGATTTAATCATCCAATAGAATGAATCTTATTTCTCTATTAAATCTCATGGGCTGGATTCTTTAGTTGTAAAGAGCTCCAAGGGTATAAGGAAAGGCCCCTCTTCAGCTCCTTTTATCCAACTAATTGGTGAAGTGGTTACTAGGGTCAGTTTAGCATTGTTAGTGCTTATAATGTCTCCCAAAATATCCTGTGACTGAGGAGGTCATATAAATGCACAAAGGGAATTTAGCCAATGTGATGTGTGTGTGTTTGATTGTTTTTTGTTTGTTTGGGGTTTTTTGTTTGTTTTTTTTTGTTTGTTTTTTTTTTAAGAATTATTCTTGTAGAACTTTCTTGGTTCCCTCTCAGTTAAACTCTGTGGTACTCCTCCCTAAGAGAGAAACAGACTTTTTCCTCATTATAAGGACACTAAAAAATGTGGGGAATCTCCATGATACAGTTTTTAACATGTGGATTTTTTAAATATTTGCTGTCTAAAACCAAAACAAGCTGCAGGAAGCTGCCATAGTGTAGAATATTAAGCAGTAATGACTTCTTTTCTTCCAGAAGTCACACTTGAAAACAAACAATAGTCACGCATAAGATGCTATACAATGAGCTAATGTCTACTTGTCAGAAAAATTTCCATTACAGTTCATGATGATGTCTAACATATTCCTGCTGCTACTGCATGCACACGTTTTGGATATCACAAGTATATAATTATCACGGTTCACTAAATTCCAATGAGCCATATCTCAATTCATCCTGTCCTTCTCTTTAGAAAATAACCTTTCCCCAGATAAATTTATAACAAATCCTTACCCCTGGAAAATATATAGAATCCTTTAACCAGAGTTATAGAGAGAAATGAAAAATCTTGCAAGAGAGTCTCTAACATTTTCTTGAAATGCTACAAATTATATCTTTTTTTTCCTCCCCCTGAAAAATAGAAATTTATCAAATGGAATAGTTTCTTTACTTTCTTGGAAAACACACTGACAATGATCATAAAGAAATTGATTCTGGAGATCTTTTTTCTGTTTAAAATTAAGGACTTCAGCAAATGGCAAGCACTTGAGTATTTTACCTTGTCCTGTGCAGCTGATTGTTTTAAGATCCTAGTGATGACTTTACTTTAAGATTGCCTGAGTTTTTAATTTATTTTGCTTAGTCTTAAGCATTATGGATAACTTATTCAGACTTTCAGAATTGGGTACACTTACATTTAGATTTTGGAAAAGAGCTGGACACTGGCAATGCACTTGCTATTCGCCTTAAGATGGCTGGACTCCACGTCTGTTTGAGGTCAAAGGAAGGTGTTTTCTTGATTCCAGATCAGCTCCTAAAAAAGTTGTTGGTTTTTTTTTTTAAAGTAAGAATTTAAACTGTAACAGTATTGTCCCACCACCAGTTTCAGACATCCTTTTGCAGAGATATTAAGAAATATTGATCAAGATTTTTCACCATTTTTAGAAGTTTCAATTAGCACAGGGGTTTTCAACCTTTTTTGGTTGGTGTACCACGGTGGCCAGTCCAGAAGCAGGGAGTCCCCTGGCCAAGCAGGAAGGTGGGGCGGGGAGAGGGTCCCCCAGCAGCAGATAGTGGGAGGGGGGAGAGGGGTCCCCTGTGGCGAAACCAGAAGCACTGGCAGCAAACCCGGAAGTGCTGCTGGCGAAATGCAAAGTGCCCCTGCTTCTCTGCTCCGCTGCCATTGGGGGCTTCCCAGGTACCCCCAGTTGACAACCCCTGAATTAGCAGGTTGACTTTCAAAAAATGTTCTACACTTCAAAGCTGCCATTGACTCAAGTCAGAATTCTTGGAATTTAGCACTGTTAAAATTCAGGCTACTGCTTTGGGTGTCTAAATATGGATGAAAGAGCAAAACCTTTAGCTTTCATGTTTGAGACTCTTAGTTGTTCTCAGGCTACTAATGTAAACTGTAAATCAAATGGATTTCTATTTTTCAGAAAAGCTCTGTGAGTATTATTCCCCACACAGATCTAAGGAAACATTTTACACCTAGTGACATGAAAGCAATATACAATTATCAAGTTGTTGGTACAACAAATGAATGGATTCAATTAAACTCATTCTACTGTACATTGATTATGTCAATGAAAACACATGCCCCTTGTTGCAAGGGGCTGCGAAGAGTCTTCATGAACTTTTATTTCAGTGTGATGTGCATGAATCTTGTGCAACTAAGCTCCAAATAGGAATGAGTTGGACACTGAAGCAATGAGAGGATACTAATATCTAATGATTGACCTCTTGTTTCATAGTATTTTGCGTGCACTGCTGCTTTTACAGAATGTGAAGGATTTTGTGTCTGTTATTCAAAATACCATAATTTTAAGGCAAAAACTGTTGGCCACTGACACCATTGTCCCTTTTTTGAAATCATGCTGTTGCTTCTGAAATTCCCCCTTTCACAGTGGCAGAATACTGCAGAAATTGAACTCAACATTTAATGTAAAGTTGTCACAAAAGCTCTACTGCCTGCAAACTTGTACGTAACCATCATTGAGAAATATGCAATGGATCCAAGGTTTGCTGAAGTTAATGAGAAGAATCCTATTGACTTCATAGTTTCTAGGGTTGGAAGGGACCTGAATAGATCATCAAGTCCAACCTCCTGCCCTGGGGAGGAACGAGTGCTGGGATCATAACACCCCAGCCAGATATCTATCCAACCTCCTCTTGAAGACCCCTAAGGTAGGGGAGAGCACCACCTCCCTTGAGAGCCTGTTCCTGAGCCTGGCAGCCATAACCATAAAGTAATGCCTCCTGATAGGTGAAAACTGCAGAGTGAGTCTGGGTTCTGGGGCCCTGCACCTCTGGCTGCAAGCAGACAAAACTCGAACATCTGACTCCCCAGGTACCTCTGTACTTCTACCTGCGCTGCTACATCCCCCTTTCACCCCTTCCCCCTTCATCCCAGCCTGTCCCTCACCCCCTGATGCCTCCATTTCCATTTTCACTGACTGGCTTTCTTGCCTGCATTGCATGCCAGGCCAGCCTCTGGCTTCTTTACTATTCCTTCTATCTAGGACCAGGATATGCACCAACTACAGGTGCTTCCTCAGCCTGACAGGATTTTTCAACCCAATAGCTTCCTAAGATATATTTTTCTAACTATTTTGGGTTTTTTCATAATAAACATATACACATAAAAATACAAGATAAGCCATCACACACCACAAGTAACATATATCCAACACAACATCTTTACTTCTTGCTGTCAATTCCTTTATAAAAAGAAAGGCTATGTGACAGTTTTGTCTGGATACCTTTAATGCTTCTGGTGCTATTGGTGTTGAGCAAGCTAAGTTATTTTGACCTGCTGTCATTTACAGCAGTGGATTGGGCCAAGGCTGTAGGGGAGGAGGAGGCCTCACGGGGGCACACTGCCATGTTGTGCAGAGGCCCCAGCACCAGGAGGTGCGCACCTGAACATACACAGTCCCACAAGCACCCATGTCATGAGTTTTGCCTGCCTGTGGCCAGAGGTGCAGGGCCCCAGAACCCAGACCCCACCTACACCTATCTCCTTGACAGCTGGCAGGCTTTGTGGCCACAGCAGGGGCTACCAACCCTGCAGTTTTCACCTTTCTGTGCCTTAACACACACACAGGGTCACCTATGTCATGAGTTTTGCTTGTCAGAAGCTTGAGGTGCAGTTTTCCAGAACCCCCTGAATCTATCACTTGAAACTTGGCAGGTTTCTTGTCCCCAGCAGCAGCTACCATCCCTGCAAGTTTCATCTGAATCAGGCAAAAAACAACAAAGTTATAGATATTTCATTGATTCCCCATTATGGCAGAATCTCCAAATCTTTTCTGAATCTATTTGGAGCTTCTGAATCAATTCAGAAAGCCTAAAGCTTCTAGTGGTTTGGTTCAGATTCATAGATTTGGCCTCTGAATTGTCCAGATCATCTCTGAATCTGAATCATGATCTGAAGCTTTGCACAGCCCTGCTGCAGAGGGAAGAATCCAACATTGCAGCACTAACCAGAGGCAGCAAACACCCTTGGAAGAAAGGAAGTTGATGAAGGGAGACAAGGGAAAGAATGAAGAGAAGAAATGCAGCCTTACCCCTAAAGGGACCTCACACACTAAGTGTATATTCTAAATATCCAAGGAAAGAAACTGACTCTCTTGCACTTTTACATTGTGTTATCTCACTGAAGACACCAAATAAAAAATAAACTACAGTACTTGGTCACTTAATCCATTTTATTCCTTGAAATCAGTATCAGTCTTATATATTGAGGGTAGGAAAGAAGATGCTGTCACTGCATTCTCTGCACCTGTTGCCATTTGCTCCTCAGCCTTTTCAGTAGTGTATGATTTACTATATATCCTGCCAAGGAGATCTTGTTGGAACAACCAGTTAAGAACTGTTAAGTCCTTTTCAGTAGAAATCTTTATTCATTCATAGCTGTTACAGTTGGTTGTGGACTTCAGAATTCATCTTTGTATTCAAACTTGCTTCTGCTTACAGGTGTTTCACCTTTTGGGTTTTTGGTCCAGCTTCACACTGAGGTGAAGGCAAATCCCACATTTGTGCTCAAACCTGATCCTGCTTGCATTCAAGTCAAGGGCCAAATTTCTACTGATATTCCCTGCCCCTCCCCTATCCCATCTTCTGCAAGAACAGGGTCAAGTCCAAAGTTCCCAGGTGTGTTCTGCTGTTTCTAGTTCAAGACTCTAGTCTTTTTATGCATGTACCCATAGATTGACAGTGATTTCAGAATGGAAAAAAATCCTTCCATTTAATTTTTATTTATAATTTAAAAGTATTAGAAGAAGCTATCCTTAGTACACAACAAGGATCACATAGAGCTTTTCTATGAAGTCATGAGTGCTTTTGGGTTCCCCTGTCAGCTACAGTTCACAACAGTGGAATAAGGACTTTTGGTTATTGTTGACTGAGAGGTATGCATGGTGCAGTATGCAATATGGGAGGAGGTGGAGAGGGAACAGCATGTTGTGGCAGTTCCTTGTTTGGGTGAACCAGAGTCATGGTTTCTTTTGGTGAAGCAAGAGGAAAATAGAGAAGGGGAAGAGAACAGAAGAGCTCAAGAAGGTAAGGGAATGGGAAACCCAAGGATAAGACCTGTTTCCCCTTCTGCCCCACCTGGACTGTTTGATTTTTATTGGTCTGATTTTCCTAGATGTGTTTCTCGTAACATGCAACTGAAAGGATAAAAAGTAATTTATACATATATATTTAAGCTATAAATATTTTTGCTGCACCTTTCAATCAGGAGTTGGGTGGCTTGTGCTTCTGCTGAATCAAATCTACATTTCTTTGCTTCTCCTTCAGATTAAAGAAACAAACTATACAGAGGAAAAATATTTCAGATTTATGGGTACTACAAAAAATAAGGCCAACTCCTGAAGGTGTTTATGTAACAAAATCTTATTGGCTTCATTTTTCTTTTTCTAAGGAAGAACTGTGGAATATCTGACTGAGGGGAAGAAAAGGCACAAGAAAGTACATGTCCAGCTACATTTTTTGAAAATGGTGCCCCATGGATGGTTTTGTAAATGGCACCACAAAATGTGGGGCATCATAGAGCTGTCATTTGCATATCCACAATTTTTGTCAGGCAAAATTATCTTGTAAAAACATTTCGAGAACAAGTTTGTAACCAATTTTCTGATAAACTAATTAACATATTTTAACTAGTTTATTTGTGTCACTTACTTCCTTCTCCTATGTCCTGTGAACAGAAAACTGTGGCACAAAAAACTGGCGAGGAAAAGATTTTAATCCGAACACTATTTTTACCGGGTTTCTTCAATTTTAAAGGTAAAAATGCACATAGCTTGCCTTTTGTTTGCCATCACATTCCCTTTTCTGTTTTTGCCTTTTACTACCTGTGAATCCCCTGCTCCTCTCACAGTTACATAACTATGAAGCATCCCTCTAGACGTGCACCAAATTTTAGGACAGAAGATATTAGAATTGCTTCTGACAGGTGAGTTGCATAACTATTTTGTTTTAAGACATGAGAAAAGTTTGGTGAGAGTCCAGTGGAGGGCAACAAAAATGTATAAAGGCCTGGGGAACGTGACTTATGAGAAAGGGCTGAAAGAACTAGACTTCTTAGTCTGGAGAAGAGAATATTGAGGGGGGATTTAATATCAGCCTTCAACTCCCTGATGGGTTTTCTGAAGAGGATGGAGCTAGACTGTTCTCAGTGGTGGCAGATGACAGAACAAGGAGCAACAGTCTCATGTTGCTACAAGGGAAGTTTAGGTTAGCTATCAAGAAAAACTTTCTCACCAGGAAGGTAGTAAACCACTGGAACAGGCTACCCAGAGAGATTGT